CACTCACTCACTCACTCACTCACTCACTCACTCACTCACTCACTCACTCACTCACTCACTCACTCACTCACTCACTCACTCACTCACTCACTCACTTACCTGTATTTAACCAGGATTTTATTTCCTTAATATTTTATGCACAGCACTTTGACCATGGCAGTTATTTATTTTAAATGTGTTTTATAAATAAAACTTGATTAATTTACTGGAAATTTTTTCAAGCCACAAACCACTAACGGGTCATTCATTTTTTTTTTTTTTTTGACTATACGAGGTAGATGCCAGTCAAACTGAAGTGAAAATAAAGATGGTATTATTTTTGGTAAATGTTTGACCAGCTACAGCTTTAATTGTTTTGTTTATGTTTTGATTTAGAAAGCCTTATCTGCTAATGTCAGTCAGATTTCAAATGATGGGCTTTGCTATCCCTGGCCACTCCTTTTTAAAACCTAAATATATTGTTGCCAGTCATAACAGTGTAAGGCAGCAGCTTCTGGAAAAGAATATGGTGCTATGTTTAAACAGTTTTTATAATGGTCCTATCTGTTGCAGGGTCCATAGTCAAGAACAGGTACAGGGGTGGATGTCAGCAGGACGTTGGGGAGAATTGGCTGATCAGAGGACAGAGAGGAAACTTCTTTTTGGGTGAACGTGAGGGAGTTTTGGAGAGCTGTGGCCTGGAAGCCTTTCACCTCCTGAAATGTCCCTGAAACGAGCCGAAGGGATGTCGATTGCCCAGGCTTTGGCCATGACTGTCGCAGAGATACCAGTTTTTCTCTACTCCACATTTGGGCAGGTAAAAACCTCGTAACGCTTCAGTCAAACCTAGTATGAGTAGTTACAGTTACAGCTTAATGTTTGTCTAACAAAAGCTCACATTTGACACAGCCCGTCGTTGTTTTCAAAACGTTTCGTTTCTCAGTCCATCTTTTCTCAGCTGAAACTATCTCCAAGCCTGAAGAAAGTCCTGTTTGCCACCGCACTTGGAAGTGTTGCTCTAGCGCTCACTGCTCATCAGCTGAAAAGACGAGGGAGAAAAAGGAAGCAGAAAACGCAAGCGAAGGAGGGGCAGAAGCCAGTGGGAATACCTGAGATGCTCCTGAAGACAGGAAGACCTTCCTCGTTAAAAAGAGGTGTGCAAAAACGAATCTTGTCGGTTGAAGGCGTGAAGCAGGTTTGAGTTTTACTTTGCTCCCTTGTGACAGGTCCGTTCACCAGCCGACAAATGATGAGCCCCGGATCTCGGAGCAATGACACCATGAGTGGAATTTCCTCCCTGGCTCCCAGTAAACACTCGAGTTCCTCACACAGCCTAGCATCGGTTAGTTTCATGCTTTTTCTTTTCTTTAATCAAAATGTCACACCTTTTTTACTTCCACTTCACTTTAACGGTGTCCTAAATGTGCGTCTGCGCATATGTTTCTGACAAAGACTCGAGTCCCAAACTCTCCGAATCAGTCTGTGAATCCCACCTCCCAGTGGGAGGCGGAGCCTGTGGTGGAAGAATCAGGAGCAGGAGAGGATGCCAATGCAGAGAACCTATATTTAATGGGTATGTTTTTACCGTTTCCAACTTAAGACCATTTTGATGATAATCTGACAAAAAGACAAAACACTCTAAAACATATTTATCTATTCAGATTATATTTTAAAATTAATCAAAACAAGTGTTTTAAATAAGTTTTTTGATTCTTTGTTTGAGTCAGAAATATATTATTACAATCGTTTTTATATGATTATATAACAGTTTTTTTATGGTAAAGCTAAAGAAAATTATACTTACTTAGTTCTAAAGCTAATACACAACCACCTGGACAAATAAATAAATCTATGAACGTCCTCTAAAACCATGTTTCAAAACCACAGTTTCAGTTCTCAGTGATGGAAATGTGACAACTGGGTGAAAATGCCATTTACCTTGTTTAGTGACATGCTTTGTCTAATTAATAATATATGTCTATGAGGCAATAATGTTCCTAACACTGTGAGTTTTGACTGTAAGAAAGGAATCAGACATATTTCTTTGAAAAGTTTTTAAAGAGTTCATAGTATGCCAGTTCAGAAGGCTTATTGTTTTAATACACATTGCTGAAGCACACGGTCTCAGCTTTCTACTAAAACATTGTTTTAGCTGTTTTATTTTATTAATTTCATTAAAAAATAAACAAAACGCATTTCACACAAAACAATACAGATCAAATAAAATGAAAGGCAGCAGAAGAAAAAAAATCTTATATCTGCTCCTTTAAAAATAAAATTAAAACGATAATAAACCAAATAATAAGACAAAACAGAAAAATTCAACCCATTCAATCCCATTAATTAACTCCTCTTTAAAGCATCACTTCCTTTTTATTTGTTATGATGTAGGACCAGACAGCTGTTCATTCTTCACTCAAACAGCTGCATCAAGACTTTTTTCCCTCCTTCCCCTTCTAGGAATGGAGCTGTTTGAAGAAGCGCTACGAAAGTGGGAGCAAGCTCTGCATGTCCGTCATCCCAGCAACCCGGCCTCCTGCAACAACAGCCTGGCTCTGCAGGGGGCCACCTGCGGAGACATTCCCACGGTAACAGTTTCACCCTTTAACCTGTAACGTTTTGTTTCTTCATAAGCTACGTCGATCTGCTTTAGAGGTTAAGCGGGCGGCACGGCGGGGCAGAGGTTAGAGCTGTCGTCTCCCAACAAGAAGGCTGCAGCTTTGATTTTGCCTGGGATCGTTCTGTTCAGGGTTGGCATGTTCTCCCTGTGCATGTGTGGGTTTTCTCTGGGTACTCCAGTTTCCTCTCACTGACCAAAAACATGCACCGGTAACTCTAAAATATCTTGGATGGGTGGGAGCGGGAATCTTTTACTTCCCCATGATTCAATTCAATTCAGATTTTTGGGGCCACATTTTCGTTCAAAATCGATTTTTCATTCAAAACTGATAACGTGAGCCCGCATGTTTGTCACGTTCCCAAAGTGCTTCATTTTCATTCTGCAAACCTTGGAGGCGTAGTTACAAAGTGTAGGCTGACAGTCAGTGGATTTGCTTTAGTTTTTTTTTTTTTGTTTTTTTAAATCAGTTTTGGGACATTTTATATCTATTCTGGATAAATCGAAAATAAATGTAAATGAGAATCATGATTCTGATGTGAACTGATTTGTGTTATTTTATTTTCTCGTGCGCTAAATGAACAGATCATTTTATTTTTGGTTCTAGGGTGAAACCCACAATAAAGTATTTGCTGAAAAGTTAGAGACACTATTGCACCGGGCGTACCACCTGCAGGAGGATTTTGGCAGCAGTATCCCAACTGACAGTGTGCTGGCCGACTTTGGTAAGAGTCAGCTGGAACTCTTGTTAAACTATAAAAATTCAATTCATCTGGAGAAGAAAGTCGAATTTAAAGCTCAACTTTGGGGAAATAAAGAGAAAATGTTATGGTTTGTCTGTAGTTTAGTTCTCTTTTAGCCCAGTCTGTTTCTTGTTTTAAATAGAAAGCGAAGGAACCCTTATCTTGCCTCAAGTGGAGAGTTTCCATCAGCTGCAATATGATGATGCGACTTCTGTTACGTCTGATGACTCCTTTTTCTCAGCTGCAGAGGTGACTTTCTCTCCTCTGCTTTCTAAAGACAGCCTGAAAACAAAACAAGTGGAAGTCGTCTGGATCAGTGTGAACTTACATAAATACTGATCACTTTTTCCTACATATGTGTGTTTTATCTGTGCAGCTGTTTGATAACATGACTCTAGGGGAGATCTATCCACCAATGAAGCCAGCAGCTCTGTATGAAGAAGCCTTGTCTCTGGTCCAAGATGACAAAGTGAACTTTAGGACTCTGAGGTATCTATAAAGTCATCTGCAAGTTTAATGTTTTTTAAACCAGTGTATTAACGTAAGGCGATCAGATGCAGGGACTAAATAATGATCTGGCTCTGCATCGCCCCTCAGAAGAGAAGATAGTTCCAACAAAGAAAAAAATATGAAAATGCTGATCAGTAGTTCACCTCCTGGAGAAAACTGTGGCATGTTTAGAATGATAAATTCATCAAACGTTTGTGATGATTGAGTTTAAACATTATACTTGACGTTAAAAGTTATTCAGACACTTGTCTCAAAATAGATATTATGTTTATGTTCCTGTGTGAATCGGACAGGTTTTGTCCTGAAGTTTGACATTACAAATCTAAACTCATTGGGCCTCATGCAAGAACCGTTCGTACGCACAGATTTGTTCTTAAGTTGTGCGTACGAGTGATTTAGGAGAATTTGTGGCATTC